TTTTCTGAAATTGTCATAGTAAAGTACTGAGAGGGCCTAAGGTTTGTATGGAGTTCTATGGGAAAATAATTAGTGGTCTTTTCCCTATAGAGACCCCAATTTTTACACTTTAAAGTGATTTGAAAGTCATGAAATGTTATTTTTAGCTAATTATTTGAAGATTGATGACATTAAGATGAATGATTGTATGTATGCATAGATTTATGTATGTATTTTGCATGTACATGTGACTGTGTATTTATTATGTTTTGCTCTATCTGTGTATATTATGGAAGTGTAGGACAGTGACCTGGTGTTCATTTTTTTTAGTTTCTTAGACTTTTGCACTTTTGGCATTTTTTCAAATAATTAAGGTGGCACATAAAAGGAATTTTTGTGATGGACAAGTGAAAGGAGGACATTTTCTGTCTTGTCATCTCATGTTTGGTAGTGTATGTGTTCCTCTGGATTGCCCCCCCCCCCCTTTCTTGGCTGCAGGGTGATCAGTTTGTAGTTTTGTTGTTTCTATGTTGTAGCTACACAAAGGTCTATGTTTTCTCTTTTTTCGCTCTTTGTAGTTTCATCAGAATTACTCGCTGCGACTCACTTTCTAATGGTTTCTAGTTTTTGTACTTAGAGTTACTTCCCTTAGACCTGCTGACCAGACAGGTAGAATTTCAACATGATGATATCTTAACAGTTGTGACCTTTGGCTTCTGATTTTTTTTCATAAATTATTGTAATGACCTTGAACTGCATGTATGACATTTGACCTTTATTATATTTACATGTAATATTATGTAATATTGAAAAAACATGTATTCCACCCTTGGCGGATCCATTTTTCATACATTTAGCTATGTAGAAGACATGTAATTAAGGAAATTTTTAGAAAACTTGAAAAATATTGTTGTTTCTTTCATGATTTATGCTTAATTTGACTAATTTTATTGATTTATTTTCATTTAAGCACTTTAGAGGAATTTCATCTTTCAGCTTTCTTGGCCCCGGGAGTGCTCGGTCTCTGATCAGCAGGGGCATTTTCTCTATATAAGAAGAAAATGGAGACTCCCTACCCACCCGATGTATTTTGTCGGACAGTTTTCTGTACATTGCAGGTAAATTTTTTATTTATTAACTTTCCAGCCTCTTATTGTATAGTACATTTTGGGGGTTGAAGTCAGTTTTTGCTTTTCTTTAATTTTTAAAAAAAATTATTTAAATTCTCCTTTTCTTAGCATGAAATTCAAAAAGTAGCTTCTGATTGTAATGTATAAGACTACAGATATTGAACTTTGATTTGTTATCAAAAGGATTGATTTAAACTTGTCTAAATTAATTGTAAACAAAAATAAAAGGGGGCACCTGCTATTTCTTTAAGTGTTTTTCACTGGGGGGTGGGGAAACTTTTTTGTACATACTTAAGCAATAGGAGGGATTAGATAAGAATCAATTAGTATATCAGAGTCTTAAATAATTTACTTTGCATAAGCATAAAAAAATTCTATATCAGTCTTTTTAAAACCTTTGAATTTTGCTTAATTAACTATGATTTATCCAATTTTGGAGCTTTTTACCTAATTCTGGGTAGAATCCACCCTTATGAAATTATTGACTCAATTTTGACTTAATATCACTTTATTAACATTAAAACACAAAAACAATTCATTGTACAAATATTTTATTTATTACAGTCACCAATATATCCAAATATCATCACCGGCCCAGACGTCATTCACTCCTTTGAACTGTGCTGGTAGCAGTAAGGTGTCATCATTTGAGATGGTCACAGTATCCAATACACTGAAGTCACAGGACTCAAATTTCATACATGTTCACAGGTAGGTGTATAGTCTTTGAAATTACCACAATTGACTAATTCTGGGACAGGTAAGTATGTAAGTATAGGAATGAGAGCACCAAATCCCCGGATGCACACATGGCTTTGTTTGTTATGGAACATTAAACAGAATACTGAATGGGTAGGCGTTACGCCATTGGCTGAAATCAGGTATTTAATTGTTTTCATTTTAAAGTAAAATTAATGACCTTTGAAATAAATGATGGGATGAGGGAATATTACAGAAACTATAGAAATACCAGGGAAGATTTTAGGAGTGGGGGTTGATTTTTTATGCCGCGTGTTATTTACTGCGAATCTCTATAAGTTGAAAATAACTGCAATTTTGACCTATAAACGCCATGGGACCATATATTTTTTTCAGTATTTTTTGTTAGGGCTTAGAACAAAGTTTGAAATGATGCTAAAGATTTTTCTGAAATTGTCATAGTAAAGTACTGAGAGGGCCTAAGGTTTGTATGGAGTTCTATGGGAAAATAATTAGTGGTCTTTTCCCTATAGAGACCCCAATTTTTACACTTTAAAGTGATTTGAAAGTCATGAAATGTTATTTTTAGCTAATTATTTGAAGATTGATGACATTTCGAGAGAAAATTTAGCAAAAATTTGAATTAGTTTACTGCGGTAATGGGGTTAGTGGTGATTTGGGTCTATTAAAGAGAGGAGGGGGGGGGGGGGGGGGGGGGGGGAGAAGATAGAAATTAGTAAAGTCCTGTACAGTTGACATGGTCAAAGGAGGAAGGTAAGTTAAGAAAATGTATTAGATTGTTCTTAAGATGAATGATTGTATGTATGCATAGATTTATGTATGTATTTTGCATGTACATGTGACTGTGTATTTATTATGTTTTGCTCTATCTGTGTATATTATGGAAGTGTAGGACAGTGACCTGGTGTTCATTTTTTTTAGTTTCTTAGACTTTTGCACTTTTGGCATTTTTTCAAATAATTAAGGTGGCACATAAAAGGAATTTTTGTGATGGACAAGTGAAAGGAGGACATTTTCTGTCTTGTCATCTCATGTTTGGTAGTGTATGTGTTCCTCTGGATTGCCCCCCCCCCCCCCCTTTCTTGGCTGCAGGGTGATCAATTTGTAGTTTTGTTGTTTCTATGTTGTAGCTACACAAAGGTCTATGTTTTCTCTTTTTTTGCTATTTGTAGTTTCATCAGAATTACTCGCTGCGACTCACTTTCTAATGGTTTCTAGTTTTTGTACTTAGAGTTACTTCCCTTAGACCTGCTGACCAGACAGGTAGAATTTCAACATGATGATATCTTAACAGTTGTGACCTTTGGCTTCTGATTTTTTTTCATAAATTATTGTAATGACCTTGAACTGCATGTATGACATTTGACCTTTATTATATTTACATGTAATATTATGTAATATTGAAAAAACATGTATTCCACCCTTGGCGGATCCATTTTTCATACATTTAGCTATGTAGAAGACATGTAATTAAGGAAATTTTTAGAAAACTTGAAAAATATTGTTGTTTCTTTCATGATTTATGCTTAATTTGACTAATTTTATTGATTTATTTTCATTTAAGCACTTTAGAGGAATTTCATCTTTCAGCTTTCTTGGCCCCGGGAGTGCTCGGTCTCTGATCAGCAGGGGCATTTTCTCTATATAAGAAGAAAATGAAGACTCCCTACCCACCCGATGTATTTTGTCGGACAGTTTTCTGTACATTGCAGGTAAATTTTTTATTTATTAACTTTCCAGCCTCTTATTGTATAGTACATTTTGGGGGTTGAAGTCAGTTTTTGCTTTTCTTTAATTTTTAAAAAAAATTATTTAAATTCTCCTTTTCTTAGCATGAAATTCAAAAAGTAGCTTCTGATTGTAATGTATAAGACTACAGATATTGAACTTTGATTTGTTATCAAAAGGATTGATTTAAACTTGTCTAAATTAATTGTAAACAAAAATAAAAGGGGGCACCTGCTATTTCTTTAAGTGTTTTTCACTGGGGGGTGGGGAAACTTTTTTGTACATACTTAAGCAATAGGAGGGATTAGATAAGAATCAATTAGTATATCAGAGTCTTAAATAATTTACTTTGCATAAGCATAAAAAAATTCTATATCAGTCTTTTTAAAACCTTTGAATTTTGCTTAATTAACTATGATTTATCCAATTTTGGAGCTTTTTACCTAATTCTGGGTAGAATCCACCCTTATGAAATTATTGACTCAATTTTGACTTAATATCACTTTATTAACATTAAAACACAAAAACAATTCATTGTACAAATATTTTATTTATTACAGTCACCAATATATCCAAATATCATCACCGGCCCAGACGTCATTCACTCCTTTGAACTGTGCTGGTAGCAGTAAGGTGTCATCATTTGAGATGGTCACAGTATCCAATACACTGAAGTCACAGGACTCAAATTTCATACATGTTCACAGGTAGGTGTATAGTCTTTGAAATTACCACAATTGACTAATTCTGGGACAGGTAAGTATGTAAGTATAGGAATGAGAGCACCAAATCCCCGGATGCACACATGGCTTTGTTTGTTATGGAACATTAAACAGAATACTGAATGGGTAGGCGTTACGCCATTGGCTGAAATCAGGTATTTAATTGTTTTCATTTTAAAGTAAAATTAATGACCTTTGAAATAAATGATGGGATGAGGGAATATTACAGAAACTATAGAAATACCAGGGAAGATTTTAGGAGTGGGGGTTGATTTTTTATGCCGCGTGTTATTTACTGCGAATCTCTATAAGTTGAAAATAACTGCAATTTTGACCTATAAACGCAATGGGACCATATATTTTTTTCAGTATTTTTTGTTAGGGCTTAGAACAAAGTTTGAAATGATGCTAAAGATTTTTCTGAAATTGTCATAGTAAAGTACTGAGAGGGCCTAAGGTTTGTATGGAGTTCTATGGGAAAATAATTAGTGGTCTTTTCCCTATAGAGACCCCAATTTTTACACTTTAAAGTGATTTGAAAGTCATGAAATGTTATTTTTAGCTAATTATTTGAAGATTGATGACATTTCGAGAGAAAATTTAGCAAAAATTTGAATTAGTTTACTGCGGTAATGGGGTTAGTGGTGATTTGGGTCTATTAAAGAGAGGAGGGGGGGGGGGGGGTAAGAGAAGATAGAAATTAGTAAAGTCCTGTACAGTTGACATGGTCAAAGGAGGAAGGTAAGTTAAGAAAATGTATTAGATTGTTCTTAAGATGAATGATTGTATGTATGCATAGATTTATGTATGTATTTTGCATGTACATGTGACTGTGTATTTATTATGTTTTACTCTATCTGTGTATATTATGGAAGTGTAGGACAGTGACCTGGTGTTCATTTTTTTTTAGTTTCTTAGACTTTTGCACTTTTTTCAAATAATTAAGGTGGCACATTAAAGGAATTTTTGTGATGGACAAGTGAAAGGAGGACATTTTCTGTCTTGTCATCTCATGTTTGGTAGTGTATGTGTTCCTCTGGATTGCCCCCCCCCCCTTTCTTGGCTGCAGGGTGATCAGTTTGTAGTTTTGTTGTTTCTATGTTGTAGCTACACAAAGGTCTATGTTTTCTCTTTTTTCGCTCTTTGTAGTTTCATCAGAATTACTCGCTGCGACTCACTTTCTAATGGTTTCTAGTTTTTGTACTTAGAGTTACTTCCCTTAGACCTGCTGACCAGACAGGTAGAATTTCAACATGATGATATCTTAACAGTTGTGACCTTTGGCTTCTGATTTTTTTTCATAAATTATTGTAATGACCTTGAACTGCATGTATGACATTTGACCTTTATTATATTTACATGTAATATTATGTAATATTGAAAAAACATGTATTCCACCCTTGGCGGATCCATTTTTCATACATTTAGCTATGTAGAAGACATGTAATTAAGGAAATTTTTAGAAAACTTGAAAAATATTGTTGTTTCTTTCATGATTTATGCTTAATTTGACTAATTTTATTGATTTATTTTCATTTAAGCACTTTAGAGGAATTTCATCTTTCAGCTTTCTTGGCCCCGGGAGTGCTCGGTCTCTGATCAGCAGGGGCATTTTCTCTATATAAGAAGAAAATGGAGACTCCCTACCCACCCGATGTATTTTGTCGGACAGTTTTCTGTACATTGCAGGTAAATTTTTTATTTATTAACTTTCCAGCCTCTTATTGTATAGTACATTTTGGGGGTTGAAGTCAGTTTTTGCTTTTCTTTAATTTTTAAAAAAAATTATTTAAATTCTCCTTTTCTTAGCATGAAATTCAAAAAGTAGCTTCTGATTGTAATGTATAAGACTACAGATATTGAACTTTGATTTGTTATCAAAAGGATTGATTTAAACTTGTCTAAATTAATTGTAAACAAAAATAAAAGGGGGCACCTGCTATTTCTTTAAGTGTTTTTCACTGGGGGGTGGGGAAACTTTTTTGTACATACTTAAGCAATAGGAGGGATTAGATAAGAATCAATTAGTATATCAGAGTCTTAAATAATTTACTTTGCATAAGCATAAAAAAAATTCTATATCAGTCTTTTTAAAACCTTTGAATTTTGCTTAATTAACTATGATTTATCCAATTTTGGAGCTTTTTACCTAATTCTGGGTAGAATCCACCCTTATGAAATTATTGACTCAATTTTTACTTAATATCACTTTATTAACATTAAAACACAAAAACAATTCATTGTACAAATATTTTATTTATTACAGTCACCAATATATCCAAATATCATCACCGGCCCAGATGTCATTCACCCCTTTGAACTGTGCTGGTAGCAGTAAGGTGTCATCATTTGAGATGGTCACAGTATCCAATACACTGAAGTCACAGGACTCAAATTTCATACATGTTCACAGGTAGGTGTATAGTCTTTGAAATTACCACAATTGACTAATTCTGGGACAGGTAAGTATGTAAGTATAGGAATGAGAGCACCAAATCCCCGGATGCACACATGGCTTTGTTTGTTATGGAACATTAAACAGAATACTGAATGGGTAGGCGTTACGCCATTGGCTGAAATCAGGTATTTAATTGTTTTCATTTTAAAGTAAAATTAATGACCTTTGAAATAAATGATGGGATGAGGGAATATTACAGAAACGATTTTTTATGCCGCATGTTATTTACTGCGAATCTCTATAAGTTGAAAATAACTGCAATTTTGACCTATAAACGCCATGGGACCATATATTTTTTTCAGTATTTTTTGTTAGGGCTTAGAACAAAGTTTGAAATGATGCTAAAGATTTTTCTGAAATTGTCATAGTAAAGTACTGAGAGGGCCTAAGGTTTGTATGGAGTTCTATGGGAAAATAATTAGTGGTCTTTTCCCAGGAAGCTGCTTACTGAAAACAAATTTCGCGTAGGCCGAGCTCGATCGAAAATACGTAAACAAAAGAAAGAAACCGATCTCGATATGAATACGGGCGCAAAGGCGGCAAATTCAAAACACAGATTTATAAATACAGGACAATGGGAAATATGGGATTTTAAAAGTGCTGTTTAACTATATTTTAGAACTAATTTAAACAACTTTACTCCACAAACACCAGTGAATAAGCCAACAACTCAAAACACCACTGAGAATAAATCAAACTCTATAACCTTCACTCAACTGATTGACCAACTGCTGTAAAAAACCACAGACTAAAACAACTATGTCTCGTCCATAAACAGTCAAATGTCAAAAGGAAAAAGCAGTTAAATATTCTATAAGGTAATACCTGGGTAGGTTGAAGGGTATAAGGCTATGTGCACTGTTAATTTACCACTTACCCATCCTGGCTCTCTTGCTTTCAGTCCAATAATAATTACTCAAATAAAAATAATGTGCACAGTATATACAAATATAACCCAAGCTAAGTAAGACAACAGACGGACAAACCGGTCATGACCAATAATCACTTATATGCATATGCTAGCTAGCTACCTCAAAAATAATTACATGCATGTATCAATCAAAGAAAATCTTATCTAAAGAAAACCTTATCTAGTGTCTTTGGATCCGGGTGCACCAGTCGGGTCAATGAAACATGCATGCAGCTGCGAATCACTACACTGTCACTATCAGCTGATGTCGCAAACACACAAATGTTCTGATCAGTCACGCGTGAAACTATGAAATCACATACACTGTTCTGTGTTCACTCTGAAGTGTCATGCACAAATCGCTGAATACTTCGGGTATCAGTCACAAATGACGTCTCCTGGGAATACCATCAGGGATGTACCACGCCCAGTCCTCTCCGTTCACTGCTGTGCCTCACTGTGTCCCAACGTGGGCGCCAAATTGTAACAGGGGGTTGGTAATGAAGAACACTCCTCTGTCAGGGTTCAGGTCTTATTTATTTAGACACAGTGAGCTTTAGCAATACAATGTTATTATAGCCCTGAAATATAATAAAACAACAATATAATAGCACATCAATTCAATCCTATTAATCATCTATACATGAAGCTCTCATAGTTAACATATCCATAATGATATATATTGTAGATGATAGGTATATGTGTACATTTACTATCAATTAAGGGAGATAACTCTTATAGTTAATATATGGACATTACATATTTTCTCCCATATAAAGGTATAAAAAATAGGACTAATTAAAACAAATAATTCCTCACCATTCTGTGGGAAAAGGCTACCACATGAATGTGTGATGTTTACAGCTTTTTACACAACATGTATATGGACTCTGTAATTTAATACAGTAAACATTAAAATATATATATTCCTTTAAAATAAAATCATCTGTTCACTTTGAACAAAGTTACCAAATATCTGGGTCATAAAAATATATGGTGTAACTTGAACATAACAATTTACACTTATAATATAATACATTACTGATCTTTATAATCAATAATTCCAATCATAAAAATAACATCTTTCTCTCATGGTCATACATTTAATTAATATGAAGTGAAATTGGGATCTTTAATAAATGCAGATCTATAGAATAGACATATTACTTAACAATTAGTAATAAGGAAAGTTAGTACTTACCAGAAAATGGAATTTGTCAGTCTCCAAAAGTCAGTCATGGAGTCCATAAAAACTCAGTCTTGGTCATTAACTCAACAAGACAAAGAATGAATATTTTGGCGGTAAAACCAATGACCATAAGAATAAAACCAATGAAATCCAACTTCACAACCAAACTACCAATAAGAACCAATAACACTCCAAAACCTTTGAACTGCCCTAAGGTAACTAATTATCTATATACAGGTGTACAGGTAAAGGGCTAAGGATATAAAGGAGCGGATCAAGCTTTTTATACTTTTATCTATTATGGTAGTTTAATTTATTTACATTAAATTTAAAACACTTATTTATTATATACGCATATTATACACACTACTACATAAACTTCGTAACAGATAGAACATATTGTCAAATTGACTATTTCGGTCCCTTTCGCTACATCAAGCGCTTCCGCCATTTACAGACATCTACGGAGAGCCGTCATTGCATAAATTTCATAAATAAATCGATTTGTGTGAAAAACTAAAGCATGTTTTAACTTAGCTTCAAATCCTGCTAGCTCAGTAAAAACGTTTTTAATGGTAATACATGTAAGTAGATTACAATATACATTGGAGTAGGCCTACACCGAACTATTTGGGGGAAAGTTAAAAACTCAGGCAAATTCAATGCATTGAAATAACCTCACATAACCAACCCACATTCGCGTAAATTTAAAGTATTATCAGTCATTCTACGGGTCAATTTAGGCACAGACACTTGGGGTATGTACCCCCCCCCCCCCCTCACCCCCCTTTTCCATTTTTTTCTTTTTAAATCTGGGTTCGAATCACCTTTTTTCCTATGTTTCTATTCTAATATGCACTATATGTTATCAATAATATAACCCTTTTGTAACATTATTTATAACATAAAGTACATATTAGAATAGAAAAATAGGGAAAAGGTGACTCGAACCCAGATTTAAAAAGAATAAAATGCCTGTGAATTTAGGGTATATATCATAACCAAAAAAAAAAATAATAATTTTTTCAAACAGCCAATTGCACACTTTATTTCACTAAGGAACATATCTCTGCACTTGAGAAAAATTATACTCAACAGTATCTTTAACTTTTTAGTTTTTATAACAATTTCAATTTACCATTCGTTTTAAGGCTATATTACGCGGAAGTTATTGCTTAATTAAACAGCTAAGACCTATTAGTTTTAAATAAACCTGAACTTTACACATTTTTTATTTTCTTACGTTCAGTATGTATAACACTAAATATTAGGTTTGAAGTCTCGCATGCATTGATCCGATATTAAACCTTCTGCAAAAATATCGTTACGGAAGTAATCAACACGAAAAATTCCCAGCATTAAAAATTGAATAAAAGTAACATTTATTTAAAGATGCTGATCAAAAGTATGAAGTATTCGCCGTAAAAATAATACAAACTTTTATAATTTCTATTCGCGGATCTAGCGGGGGGGGGGGGCCCCCTCCTAGAAAACGGTGACCCCTCCTCGGAAACACGGATCTACGGAAGCCCGTTGGTGCCACGTACGAAAAATATTTTATCTGGACGCCGCCACATAAATTATTTTGCAAAAGGTGAGTGTTATTGGGTTAAGAAGATGGATGTTGACACAGCCGCTGCTTATTGATAAAAAGGTTAATGATAAAAAAAGAATTCTGAAATATTGGAACACCATTGTTAGAAATCCAAAATGCAAAACTTTATTTAATTCTCAACCAATCATAGCTTACAGCAAATACAAGAATATAGGTGACGAGATAACCCGGTCTCACCTAAAACTAACTCCATGATTTCTGTCCCTGATCCCTGATGAGGCTTCTTAATAACCGAAACACTCTACAAATACTTGCATAATTCAAATCAAATATTGATCTGTTCTATGCAGAAACATATCTACTAGAAGTTGGATTGGAGTGTTGGTTCATAATAAATCTCTTACAAGTTTGGTTGACTGATGTCGCTATTATAATTTTTACACTGTATCCACCTCTGAAATCACACGTTAAAACATATGCATTCACGCGCATCAGGAAGCCAGGTGTTATCTGACGGACGCCATATAAATTATGTGGCGGCCGCCAAATATTATGTAGCGGGTAAATATTTGGCGGCTGCCAGATGTTATATAGCGGCCGCCAGATAAATGTGTGGCGGCCGCCAGATAAATTATGTGGCGGCCGCCATATATTTTAAAGTAGCGGCCGCCAGATAAAATATTTATCGTACGTGGCACCAACGGGCTTCTGTACGGATCTATGTGATAATGGTATGAAAAGGCATTTATAGGAAGCATCTTTTACCCCCCCCCCCCCAACACACGCACACACACACACACCGAAATAGGTTTTTCACTTTTGGGAAATGAATGTACGTCTTTTCATTTTTATTTTTTTTTGCTTGTCAAGAAATTTCTGGGTTGGAATTTATTTCTTGACTGGGGTGGAACCCCCCCCCTCCCCCTGGAAAAAAATTCTGAATCCGCGCCTGATTTCTAATGAATAATTTCTTGAATTACCGTTAGACCGTTTATACGGAAATTAAATTTTTAAGGAACACAGTCTTTTTTTGTCCATTTCATTCTTTTATGGTCTAATTTACCTGACTCGCAACTAGAATCAATCATGTAAGGGTTCGTGGTCACTTACAGGTACGTTTTAGTTCTTTGTGAAATCTGCATTCTGTACGTGTGTGATAATAAAAACAAAATTGTTACGGGAGTTAATTGATTTTCAATTGACATGCTTTGATTTCGTATGAAAGAAGATATATAAATTATAAAATAAAAATTTTATATAGCGCCATATCTTTTATTTATACTCTAAGCGCTTTACATACCTGTAGATATTGTAATCTACATAATAAAAGGAAGAATAAAATAATCCTACATACACCTATAAAAAAATTAAGAAAACCTGAAAAATACAGTCATACATTAATACAAGTCATACGTATGTATATATTTCATTTCAAAGAAAGGCCTCTCTAAAAAGATGAGTCTTGTGTTCCCTTTTTTAAAAAAACTTCATTTTTCAACTTGTCGAATATCCTATTCCAGTGCATTACTCTGTCATAAGTTATCTGTTCTCTTTTTACATAAGAAAATACTTTTTGAACGTTCAGTGGAATCTAATCAGAAAGCTTATACATGGAGCTGAAAAATCTTGAAATTTGTTAACGATTGAAGCCCTGTCAAAATTTGCAGTTAAATACGTTTTTAAACATTACACATTTATTGACTGAATTCGAGGGCAACATGCATTTTGTTGGACCCAAGAACCAAACACGGCCTCAGGCAGACAGTTTGGTTCGAGGATTGAAAGAACGCATTGTTATACCTTTAAAAGTTCATTCCTATACAAATGTATATGAAAAATAGTCTAACATTCGTAATGATTTACTGAGCAGGCGTAAAAAAAATCGATGACCGAGGGAGATGTTGGACTGGTCGATGAGATGTTGGACCGTATTTCCGACAAAAATCATCGAAACGAAACTAACTGTTTTTAATCTTATCCTATTAAGGTACACTAACATGCTCAAAATAAATTCAACTAAATTAACAACAACATTGTTTTCCAAAATTTTAATCTTTTTCTAATTCATTTTTAGTCCTAATTTATCATAAAACAAACCAAAAAGAAATAAAACCAAAACAAAGCATATCAATCAAACTAAATAAGAACATTCATAAATGGCTATACGGCATACAAAAGTTTTTCCGACAACTCAAACACGATGAACATGATTATCAATGTCCTGTCTTGGAAGTTAAAGAAAATTTAAATAAAACAAACAACATCTTCTTTGTTGAATCTGTTGACATTTTTGCGCTACAGTTTTACTTCTCCTCGGTCTGACTTTTTGATCCACAAGATTCAAAATTGTACAGTCTGACTTCGTTCTGACATGTTAGTAAAAGCCTCGGTCTAGATCCCATTACAGCTACACGAACTGCCATCGGATTGTCGATTGCTTTGTCTTTGTCTTTAGAAAGAATCTGTCTCACAAATTCACCATTCATGTTCATTTGTAATACATTGTTGGTACTGCACCCCACAATGTAGATATTACCATCAGGATCACAAGAAACTCCTAGAGGATAGCTCAAATGTTCGTGTTCGAATGTAAATTCTTGGGTTCCCAGTTTATCATCATGCAGAACGTAAACTTTACCATTTTCAATATGGTGCGAATAAATGATACGTCTAGAATAAAGACAAAGTCCATATACGTAGCCCTTTTTGACTGTTACGGTGTGTAGAATGGTTCCGTTGTCGTCAATATGTCGGAGCAATCCATCGGTTGAGGAGACAATGAGAGTACCATTGTCACAAGCAATTCCATTCGGTTTGAATGATAGATTGAGTATTTTGGTAGTAGTTAGAAAGGGGCTTTTGTCCATTGCCAAATCAACAAATTCTATGCTTGAACGGGGTGAGCGAATGGTGACTGCAACCGACAATTCACCTGTTTTTGTCATTGCCCAAGGTTTCCCTGACAATTTACTCGAAGCAACATGACATTCGTTAATATGGAAGAGATCCAATAAATTGTGATTGTCGCATATTGCAAGAACATGGTCGTCTCTAATGGCTTCAACGTCTGTCAGTCTGCATCCAGATTTAACCAAGACACTTTCCAGAACTAATGTGGAATTCAAATAATCTGTCTTTGAATTTGTGTCCGTTTCCTCGACAACAAGTTCGCCAAATGGTTTTGGTTCTTGCAGAACTTTTGTCAGAATGGCGTCATCCTCTAATTTTATATCAACACTTTTATAACTGGATTGAACTGCACCTAAATTTTCTTTAAGGGATTTATAATTTTTCTGTATTTCCTTCATTGCAAGGAAAAGTGACATCTTGTTTTTATCGTTTGGATTTTTCAATTTTGCAATGTCGTTATCAAGATTTTCTTGAAAGTCGGATAACATTCCGATCTTATCCACAAATTGTGTGTTTTTGTCCCTCTCAACCCTCTCTAGTTGTTCTATAAATTCAGCCTCTTTCTCGTTCAAAAATTCCACCATCGACTGTTTTATTGATCGTATATGCGAACGAACATCATTAACTTGAACATGGAATTTCTCTTTACTTTTAGTAATGTTAGCTGTATCGTCTGTACATTCTCCTTTCAAATTTTCCAGCAATTCTCGCAATTTCTTTACTTCATTACTATCACTTGCCTGTTTAGCACATTCCTCCAAATTTTCAACCTTCTCACATTTTCGATGCTCTGTCGTTGCACACATCAAACAACAAGCCTGTTCATGATCAAAACAATACACCTCTAGTTTCCGATCAGCATGTTTTTCACAAAAAAATGTCATGTTAGAACAACAGTCCGCTGTTTCTGCATCATCTAGCGACAGCACGCGGTGTTCCATAGACAAACGGTTAGCGTGGTGGCAGTTGGCGCATTTCTCGCACAGATCGTCACAGCAGTCGATACATCGTGACGTAGCAAGTTCAACCGAGTTCATACGCTGACAGATGTCGCAGGATTTTTTGTTGGAATTTTCCACATGTGCCATGTCTGTATGCAAAACAAGTACACCTACACTCGGGTCACGTAGTTTGTTCACTATGCTAAATATATGCAATAGATTTAAGGAGATAACATTACTTTTACAGCAAACCTCGTCCTTTGTGTTTCCTCACACAATTGCGTTATTCCACTGATTTTTCCACAAACACTGCACTGTTTATCTAGCCACTTTCGGAAAATAAAACACACGTGTTTATCTGTAAGGTGAATTGAGATTCTGCGCTTTCGCAGCGCAATGTTATCTTTAAATTGCGGAAATGTTTCACACCGTAATAAAAAAAAGCTACCTATTTAAGTCAACTGGATTATTTTTGAAACGTTTGCAGACTCATCATTATTATTAAATCATCATCAGTTACCGTAATCCCTGACATATCAAATCAAATAGCTTAAAAGATTTCCGAGGGTGTGATATACAAAATGCGATCAGGAAACGGAAATGCGAACATGTACACAGCTAGTGTCTCAATTTATCATCCTGTTTTTATCTGTGTTAAACATATTTAAACTGTGATAAGGTTTGTATACATCAGAATTTATCGTTCGTGTCCCATGACAATTTTTAAAATATAACTTAAGTTAGGTACAACCATTATAATAAGGCTCCATTATTTCTTTTAATTAAACTTATAAGTTCCAAAGGACAGAAACTTAAGTTTATATGCAACACTTTTTATTATAAAATAAATATCAAAACTATTAAGACAAAAAGAAATTAAACTGATAAATGAACATAAATATTAATTTTTAAAAATGTCATTCTACTGACAGTGGAGCGGATGAGACTCATTTTAATCCTCTATTTTTTTTTTTTTACTTTTGTATCACCAGACAATTTTAAGGATACTGGTAAACTCATTGATTATTGTACCTCCATAAAAACTTTGTCTAAATAAAAAACGCGTGGATAAATAAACTTCATTTTGTCTAGTAACTACATCCTCATAAAATGTATTGGAGTTATCTTTCTTTGTATGTACATGGAATATATTTAGTTGGATTTTTTGCAAAAGGACTAATGAGAAACCTTTTGATCATCATAACAAACTGGGACGAAATGGAAGCCCACCACCACCGCCACCAAGAGCAAAGAACAATGAAGATTGTGTACAGGGTAACCAGGTCGGAATATACAGTCATGCATGTAGAGAGATCAAATAGCCTTTTAAAGGTATTCAATGTATAATGGCCATGTTTTGTACATATACTAAATGAATGGTTCAAATTGATCAATTACGGTATGGTAGCATTTTGAAATAAACATACTCTACCAAAGCAATTTACAAAAATTTAAATTTTGTCCAATATTAAAATTTTGCCCCTTATCTAAATTATGCTCATTTCTTTTTCATCGTGATCTCAAAATTGTTCAAAAGTCCCTTGAAGTTCGTTATATATTGAATTGCTTAAAGTCCACCAATTTTCACGCATTTCAAAGTTATATATCAGTCTTTATTGGTATATTTTGTACTGTTTTTCATCCCTTCAGAAATTTTTGCTGACACCTGATCTGATTCCTGCAATATCACTAGGATTGGATGACACTCCTCCAACAATGAAGAAATCCACAAAACCATATCCTTTGGTATAAAAAGTGATAAACAGCTTTTATATCATATATATATTTTAAAAAAGAAGACAGATCTGACGCTAGCTAATTACTGCGGTTCATTACATTGTACCAAAAATGAAAAAATAGACTACTGAAATTGTATATTTTTTTAAGTATATTTAATAATAAAAACTTAAAAAGGTTGTATGGAAATATAATCAATATATACATATACAGAGAACAACTTGGCAATGGTGAAACGGTTACAAATAACATTGTGAATCACTACAACCTTTTACAAATGTTTCACAGAATTGATATGACGTACAGAATATCAATGGTGAACGATAAACATCATCATCATCTGCTCAATAAAATGGAATTAAAATAAGAATGTCGACGACTACATATACTATGATTTATATCTTATTATAAATAACGGGAACAGAAAACGATTGCAATAATTCGATCACTTGTCTATTTATCAGACTTGTGGTGGGGTGGAATGTAGTAACGCTCAACTTTATATAGGCCAACTAAGCCACAACGACGGGTTTTCAGAGTCTCAAAGAAATCCATGGCCACATTTAAGTGTTCCATTCCGTTTTCACACTCACAGAGGATCAAGTATGCAAAATTTTCAGTTCGCATCGTTGCCCTGAGAAAAGTTATCCTTCGAAGCTTAAGGACCCTGGGACAGTTCCAGAGAATGAATTTCGCGCCACTCCACGTGCTCCACAACTCCTCCATTGATGGCGTCTGCTCGAGCGCGTGGAATGACGTCAGATAATACACGCTATCCTTGCTGACTGGTGTACGAGGTAACTGTTTCACTCCATCTCTTACAATACATTCAATTTCATCGTAAAATTCTGCAATATAAATTAATATTCATAATTACATGTACCTAGTTCCACAATCTCATGTTTTTAAAGATATACTAAGTCTTCATTATTATTCTCCAAATCTCTGAGTTTCACAAATAAAATATGGAGACAACGAAATGTAATCAAGTTCAAAAGGCCATAATGATTGAAACAATTCAAATTGGGAGGAGAGTAATCAGGACCTCTTAATCGGAGGTGGGATCAGGTGCCAAAGAGGAGTAAGCACCCCCAGCTGTCCACTGGTCACAACAGATAAGTCTGAATTCAACTAAATGATAATTATACTATATGCTGGAAAGGTCACCCTTTCACCCCCAAAACTTGCAAAATGTTGACTAGCACTGTTGATATTCTTGTTCTTATCAACTTGTTTGTGAAAACCTTTCAGAGACCAGAAGAACGTATGCAATAGTAAGACGTTCGTCGTCTGTCTGGCCGTTCGTTTGTCTGTAAACAATATTTTCAAAATACTTCTCTTCTTACAGTTTTGGTCTGCTTTCAATACTAGTATTATAACATGGAATAAAGGCAAACTACATTAAGACATATGATAGACCTATATTACTTAAAGTAGAAATTTCTGTTATTTGGTCTGATTTCAATATAATTTTGCACACAAGTAGACAACACTAAGGTACATAAATCTATGTCGGTTTTTGATTTTTGATGAGCTGAGTTGCCACATGATGGTTACTAAAAGTAGAAAAATCTTCTTGAGAAATACTTTTGGAACACTTATCTTCCTATATATACAGATTGGTCTGATTTTAACGTGACATGCAGTAAGACTACACAGAGATGTTTTGTTATAGGTACAAACCAGTTGAGCTGCAGTCTCGACAGCTTCTTCTGATTTAGAAATTGTTCCTAGTATGTAGAGCCTGCTTTCGCGAATAGTATCAAATGGCAGCAAAAACTTCAAATTACGTGTATAGTTCTATATACAATAAGGGAAGTTGAAGTATACAAGTTAGGTATTTTTATGTTGTATACCATTAACGTATTTGAATTAAATGTGTCTGATTTGCTGGTATCTTTTATGTTCATTAGCCTAAGCTATATCAAGTTCTTTATTTAATGGAGTGTTGTTAATTGAGAATACGTCGTCAATATACTGCGGTATCTGAATGTCGTTGCAGGCCAAAGCAAGTGTTTCTTCTTCTCATATAGTTTGAATTATACATTATATATAGGCACACTGTGTTCCCATTAGGAATTCACGCAGATTGTTGGAAGACCTTATCTCCAAAAACCACAAAGATATTGTGAATCAAAAACTCAAGCAATTATTATAATCAACTCCAGTGAACTTGATGTGTGCACAAGGCGATGGCGCGATAACGATGAAGCGATGGTGCGATGACGATAGAGCTATGGTGCGATAGCGCGATGACGATGATGCGATGGCGCGATAATGCAATGACGATGGTGCGATAGAACGATAGAGTAAAAGTGAATATCGCTTCATCGTCATCGTACCATCGCGCCATCGTTATCGCACCATAGTGTCATCGCTATCGCACCATCGCGTCATAGCACCATCGCTTCATCGTGCTATCGTACCATCGTCATCGCATTATCGCGCCATCGCTTCATCGTCATCGCACTATCGCACCATCACTTCATCGTTATCGCACCATCGCTTCATCGTCATCGCATTATCGTGTCATCGCATTATCAACCCAAACCTCGATGGTGCGATGATGCGATAGTGAACTGCATGGCCCTATCCGGATTCCATAGTATGGGTGTTCCATTATCTTATTTTGATAGCAACAAGAATTCAAAGGAAAAAAAAACCTTTAAAAAACCTTTATTTGCTTCACACTATGTCCATTTTTTTTATCCATTTAGGAATTCGTTAACAAGTATTGGTTCAACACATTTAATACAATTTCTCTTCATATATAGATTTATCAGCTGTCACAGAAATAATTACTAAATATGTTGATTTATATTTGTGATCACGAAAATCAAATCCCAGAGAAGCAGCTGTGGGGATCTGATACAAAATTCTCGTGGGTCTGCAATTAACTCAATTTGTCATTCTCATTATGTTCCCCAAACGAAGTTGGGGAACATATTGTTTTTACTCTGTTTCTTATTATTATTAAGGTCTTCCGTCTTCACGGAAGACCTTATAGTGATTCTACTGTTTCTTATTATTAAGGTCTTCCGTCTTCACGGAAGACCTTATAGTGATTCTACTGTTTCTTATTATTCTTATTATTATTATTATTATTCTTTTTTTTGACAAAATTTTGTGCAGGCGATTTCTCAAAAACTATTCAGCGGTTTTTCATGAAACTTTCACAAAATATGCGTCATTATATGAAGTTGTTACATCCGAAGAAAAATTTGGAAAATTCGCTTCTGGTGCCAAGTTATGGACAATTTCCTGATTTTAAAATGCGATTTTGTCGCGCACTTTTATCGAAAATGACTAAGGATATGAACTGGAGACTTATTGGAGATGATAGATCATGACTTTGTGAATTGCAGAATCGCCTTTTTGTGCGTCGTCAGTACTTCCGGTCGTTACGAGATGCAAATTTAAAAAAATCGTATTTTCTAACTTTTTTGTTTTTCAGTATTTTTCATTTATATTTGGTTTGGTAATAGAAGCCCTCCTTATAATGCTTCCTATATAATTTGTTTGAATGTTGATTAATCTAAACTCTAGATATTAGCATTCAAAAATCTGAAGCGGGTCCAAAATGGCGGCTGTCTCTGTCAATGCCGACATTTCGCAATAGTGGTTTACGGAGGCAGCCGAGCGTTTGCTTTAACGAAAGTAACATATGAATAAATGAAATGTAAAGGAATACTTGGATTGTCACGTCGTAGTTTCGTTGCAGTTCTGGGTCAAACTAACGTCTTCTATAATTGGTTTTGGCTGGTATTCAAAGTAGAAAAAGAAAAGACTAAATGTGCTGGTTTTCAAAGTACAAAGAGAAAAGACTAAATGTGCAAATGAAACTCGATACCTAATATCTTTTGTGCATCAGAAAAACAGATCTTAAACCATACTTATAAGTAATACTTTCTCATAAAAGAATATCAATTAATATTGTCAGTATAAATCTTAACCACTGTTTTTCCTACGCACACTTGTGTCATATTAAACTATTAAATAAGATGGAAATAAGAAAACGATGTTTTTAAAGATTGCTTCATGGAGTTTATTTTAGCATTCTTGTCTCAAAGACCTGATTCAAGTTATTGAGCATAAATGATATCTGATTCCTTGACCATCGAAGGACGAGCCATGTTTTTCGGCGAAACGTTTCAACCTTTTTCGATTAACTAATCGGGATAGTTCACTTTGGGGATAAACAGGAAATTGAAAAAAAAAAATTCATAACCGTTTCATCGCTTTAGTGTTACATGCATATACAATATGGAATTTTTAAAATGTGATAAATAAACTTTCTAAATCTTGAATCTTAGGCTATAAGAACGTTCTTTTTTTAAATTTCATTGAAGCTATCACACCTATTAAATAGAACATTCCAAAGAAAAAGCGCAAAGATTAACTCGTGGCGTTTGGTGCTAAATTTTGAATAGTGACATGCCTTTCATAATTTTAAGAGAGAAGCATATTCGTTAATATATACAAGTAAATTTAGTGTAGAGGTCCCTAGCTTAATATTTAGTGCTTTGGGTTCAATCCCCCTTGTGTGCAAATCTTTTTTTACTCTTTCAGCTCGATTTTACGTCTTCTTTCCGGAATCGGACGGAAGACCTCTCGTTGCTCGCAACGAGTTTCATATCTAGTTATTATTATTATTATTATTATTCTTTTTTTGACAAAATTTTGTGCAGACGATTTCTCGAAAACTATTCAGCAGTTTTTCATGGAACTTTCACAAAATATGTGTCATTATATGAAGTTGTTACATCCGTAGAGAAATTTGAAAAATTCGCTTTTGGTGCCAAGTTATGGACAATTTCCTGATTTTAAAATGCGATTTTGTCGCGCACTTTTATCGAAAATGGCTGAGGATATGCACTGGAGACTTATTGGAGATGATAGATCATGACTTTGTGGTTTGCAGAATCGCCTTTTCGTGCGTCGTCATTACTTCCAGTCGCTACGAGATGCAAATTGAAAAAAATCGTATTTTCTAACTTTTTTGTTTTTCGGTATTTTTCATTCATTTTTGGTATGTAAATAGAAACCCTTCTAATAATGCTTACTATATAATTTGTTTGAATGCTGATAAATCTAAACTCTGGATATTAGCATTCAAAAATCTGAAGCGGGTCCAAAATGGCGGCTGTCTATGTCAACGCCGACATTTCGCAATAGGGGTTTACGGAGGCAGCCGAGCGTTTGCTTGAACGAAAGTAACATAAGGATAAATGAAATGTAAAGGAATACTTGGATTGTCACGTCGTAGTTACGTTGCAGTTCTGTGTCAAACTAACGTCTTCTATAATTGGTTTTGGCTGGTTCTCAAGGTAGAAAAAGAAAAGACTAAATGTGTAAATGAAATATCTTTTGTGCACCACGGAAAAACAGATCTTAAATCATACCTATAAATAATACTTTTTCAAAAAAGAATATCAATTATGTCAATATCAATATCAAATATAAATCTCAACCGCTGTTTTTTCTATGCACAATTGTGTCATATTAAACTAATAATAAGACAAAAATAAGAAAACGATTTTTTTTAAAGATCGCTTCATGGACTTTATTTTAGCATTCTTGTCTAAAAGACCTGATTCAAGTTATTGAGCATAAATGATATCTGATTCCTTGACCGTCGTAAATGTAGGGCGAGCCATGTTTTTCGGTGAAACGTTTCAACCTTTCTCGATTAACTAATCGGAATAGTTCACTTTGGGGAAAAACAGGAAATTGAAAAAAAAAATTAAAAATTTATAACCGTTTCATCGCTTTTGTGTTACATGCATATATACAATATGGAATTTATCAAATGTGTTAAATGTAAATATAACTTCTAAACTTCCAAACGTAGGATATAAGAACTTTTTTTTTTAAAATTTCATTGAAGCTATCACACGTATTTAATAGAACATTCCAAAGAAAAGGTGCGAAGATTAACTCGTGGCGTTTGGCGCTAAATTTTGAATAGTGGTCCGCCTTTGTAAATTTTAAGAGAGAAGCACTGTTTCGTGAATCACATATATACAAGTAGATTAAGAGTAGAGGTCACTATTGCATAATATTTTGAGCGTTGGAATTTCATGCTGGAGACTTGCGTTCAATCCCCCTTGTGTGCAAATGTGTGGGTTTTTTTTCTCTACATTTTCAGCTTCGTTTCACGTTTTCTTTCCGGAATCGGACGGAAGACCTCTCGTTGCTCGCAACGAGTTTCATATCTAGTTATTATTATTATTTTTCTTCTTCCTGGGAAAATCTTTTCCGCGAATGATCTTGTAAACTACACGTCCGACTTAGGTGAAACCTTTTTAGGGTCAGTAGGCATGTTATGTAGATTTGCGGAACGAAGGTCATTTTGCGCGCACGTGCTTGCAAGAGCGCGCACGTGCAACGCGTGAAATGACCAAAATAATAGATACAGCCGTAACTTTTCTATTTTTTGATTATATGCTTTGATACTCATAATATAAGTATATATTAGTAGTATAGACGTGTTGACATGGTCAAAATAGCAAGATCTCACGCGCATGCACGTGCGCTTCGCTCTGATTGGCTGAAACTAAAGTCTCAATATCTTTCTTGTTTTTCGTCATAATCCTTTGAAATTTTGAACTTAGTCACACAATATAAAGATCTACAGCAGGATATATAATAATTTTCATGAAAGCACGTACATGCGTGTGTGCTGGCAAGATCGCGCACGTGCAACATGTGAAATTACCAAGATAATGGATGAAGCCGTAACTTTTCTATTTCTTGATGGAATTTTTTGAAACTCACAATGCATGAATAAAGTAGTAGTATGGACAAGATGACATGGTCAAAATTGCAAGATATTACGCACATGCACGTGCGCTTTGCTCTGATTGGCTGAAACTAAAGTCTCAATATCTCTCTTGTTTTACGTCATAATCCTTTGAAATTTTGAACTTAGTCACATATTATGAAGATCTAAAGCATGGTATATAAGAATTATCATGAAAGCGCATAAATCAACGTGTGCTGCAATCTGATTGGCTGAAACTTTACATGCCTATATCTTTCTTGTTTCTCAACAAAACAGGATGAAGTTTAGAATATGAATAGGTATTATGGATTCCTACATGATATTGCTATCAAAATTGAATGCAAGGACGTGTTTGCATGCACATGTGCACACGCAATGCGTAAAATGAACAATATGTTTGAAAAACGGTAAAATTTATATTTGTATGACTTTTTATTGATTTCTGGAATATAAGGATATGTTAATGGTTTAGACAACATGTCATGATCACCTTGCATGTGCATGCACGTGCGTTTGCGAACAATGCGTTAAATGACAAAAAAGTGATATAATTGTAGCTTTTAAAATTCTTTTATGAAATCCTGCGATACTAAGCATATTGAAAAAACGTTTTAAAGGAAATCTGCACAAAAAGGGAGTTGGGGAGCGTTTGGGGAACATCTGTAACGGTCCCCGTTACAATTAGAACTAGTTTACTTTGTATCCATCCTATGTATACATGCAAGCGGATCAGACTTCCTTATGCCACGAGAAATGTACGAACCAAAGCTTCGGGAGCTTCTTTGTTTGGTAACTCTTCTGGGGGGATATCTAATTCTTAAGGGAGAATGTAGTTCTTATACTAGTTAAAAAATGACAGTTTCAGTTAAATAGGTCAGCCAGATCTTTTGTCTGGTGTCCCTTCGCTGATCAGGGGATGGCATTCATTATTATATAATGTACGCTTTATTTATTCAATATCAATATTTTTATCCATATCATTTTAGCAGATATAAACCTTGTTCCTTCATGGGTTAAGGAAGAAAAACGCCCTGCTAAGAAAGATAACTTTTCCAATGATACTTTTAACAAAAATACAACAAAAATTCAGTTTAGTAGGTGAATCTCCGGTACATTATTTCATAATGAAAATACAGCAATATAGATAAATTCATCTTTTATTGATAAAGAAGGAATCTTTAAAAGATTTCCCAAAATATCTATCTCCTACCCTTTTAAAACTTGTTCCATATTTCTTGCATTTTTGACCAAAGTGAACTTGTACGGCAGATATACAATATGACAATAGGACTCAGTCAATGGATTTTTGGATTATGTTTTACATTCGGACAAATTGTTTTCCTCTCTTATATGACAATATTGGCGAAGGATAATTTTTATATCGATTTTGTTGCATTGTCGCGCTTTCCCATGATAACGTTACTCCGTTAGCCCAAACATAGTGCTCAATTTTATCTAACAACATAAAAAGATCTCCTTAGAGGGGGGCGATCGTGTTCAACATTTATATTTTATCCAATGATGAGATTTCTTATTGAAACAGAGGAACTTGCCGATCCATTTCTGAACAAAACACTTTCACACGTATAGAATCCTGCAAATATTTTTTTTATTCTTCTTTTTGGGGTTAAATATTCATCTTTTCACCTTAATGAGATATCAAAATTGTCCCCATGTTTGATGTGTCAATAATTTAACATTCAGATCCTCTGAAAGGCATCCATTGGAAAATCAAATTCAATGGGGACAGTCGAGAAGCAAATCATATTATCCGGAATTTCCTTTACTTCTGCTGGAGATAAAACGAATAAACTTTGAATTCTTGATGTAATTCGGACCTAAAGCAGAAGTCAGTAATTTTAAGCAATCCTTAAGTTTACATTAAAGGTATGAAGCAAAGCGGTATTTTAAAAGAGAGAGTACTCAAGCTATTTTAATTATCTACACACGCAAATAAACAATCTTCCATGCATAGTTGTCGTTCGTTTCTCTCTCTCAGACACCTCTGCAATGGGTTCACGTCAAGAATTTTGACATAACGTATAAAAAGTAATATTTGCAGGATTGTTTCAAATTAAATCAAACGTTCTGGATTAATTTAGTAAATATCTATCTGAAAAGTCAGAAATAAACATATAAATTGAATTATAATGAATTAAAACAAACGCACTATTTCTCGTGTTTATCACTGTGATATACGCGAGCCAACGACAGAGGTGAATGTATGAGCCGATGGTAGAGAGTGGCAAATAAAGTTAGTAACGGGGGGATTTCGGTCCAGAATAGAATGGGAGAAAGAATTCAGTAGAAGGATGTCTTTATGAAGAAAACAGCTTGATAAAGTAATGTGGAATGTTGATATACAAATATAATTCGTATTTTTCTATTATAGATTATGAAAGAGACATGCCACTATTCGCAAAATCTTTATTAATCTGACAACAATCACTAGTATGTCGGGGTATGGGGGGGGGTACGTTTTGCCCATGATAATTTAAAACAAAGAAGTCGACTTATTTTGTTAATGACTTATTGAGCATGCCTGTAGATTAAGCTAAAATTTGTTATTCATACCTGGTTGTATTATTCTGTTCCCTAACACTTCTATGGAAAATTTATGGTTGTGGACGCGTAGAATGTCCATCTGGGCATGGTTCTTTTGTTCTGACTGTCTTCGGAAGTCCTTGATCCCACTGAAGAAGACCGAGTAATCCACATACGAGTACTGAGCTGTAACGAAAAAATACACACTGATTGAGATTAAGCTCATTCAAGCTAAAACTAGAGCGGGAAAGGATGGGGTTACATGAGAATATCATACCCCAAAAAAAATCTTTAAAATTTTACTTGTAAAGAATTCCAAGGCCATAATTATTACTATTAATAATAATAATCGTGAATTTTTTCCCCAGAGCTGACCCCTAGGAGTAGAACGGAGCCTCTGAGAAGTTTTACATAGGAATATAAATGAAAAGGGGAAAAAATCTTTACAAAATAAATCACCTTCACACGAAAGCAGAGCCTTAAGGTCCATATACATGCATGTAGAAGCATCCTTGAGTAAGGCATATTCAAATTTAATAACAGCCAAGGGTTCCCGAATGAAATCATGTCCCTCAAAAGGGAGAAAATCTGCTTCTTTTCAAGATAAGGATGACCAGAGTGAATAAGGTGAGCGTTCTGACGTATAGGCCTTCTGCTTGTAAATAAGTTTTCGTTTTCGGCTTTTAATCATGATGAATATTGAACGATTCATTTTTTTTTAATTCAGTGGTAGATGAGGTTGTTAAACGATATTGTAATAATTAAACATAAAGAATGGGTCAGAGATAAAAAGAAAATTGTAGACAAAATCAGTTGTAAATAATTCTGTAGAGCAGGTGATTTCAGTTTTCACCCAAAATGTATAATACGCATGCATTGAGATCCCATGAGATGATGAAATTTAACTTACAATGACTTCACAAGCAAGTTCAAAAATACGAGGGTTGATCCAAAAGTTCGTGGAATTTCTTTCTAAAATTTTATCGAAGTTTGATGAAAACAAACAACGGGCATGTTTATAATATAGAGTCATAATGCAACAATATTGGAAAATTCCACCACTTTTCAATTACCAATAAGATCACACCAGCTTTCTAAATGGATTGTTGTGAAACCCGGGGGAGATTACGTCAAGTCTGACATGTCACGTCACGTTATAGAAGCATTTCACCTTAATGTCCAATTCGAACACGTAGTTCTACAAATTGCTCCCCTTTTCTCCTTTTTTCGCAAAGAAAAGCCTGGGTATCCTCTCGCACCAACTTATCTTCATTTTCACTCATATTTTCAAAATGCTCCCATCTTTCCATGTGATGTTCCAATTTCAGTATCAATGTCAAGAACAATACGTCAGCTGACAAGGTACAATAAGGCTTTTAATTTGTCTAGGGATGTAAACGCTTAAATCAGAGCCTCCAAAAGGTGGCCACACCTTTAATCAACGTCCATGGAAGTTCTATTTTCCTTAAATGTCTTATGCCACTGGAAAACTGATACAAAAATGCGTTTTCCCCCAGCCTATGTCAATAACATAAGCATTTAAGCAGAGGGGATTTTCACCAAAACTTATGACTTGCCCGAAATTTGACGTTGTCTAAAAACTTTAAGATGATAATAAATCACTAATATAATAAACTAAATATCCAGTAAAATCAGTAAAACTTTCACACAAAGGTTTATGAAAGATCAAGCAATCCTAATAATGATATAATTTTTTGTTTTATATACCACATAGGGCGGTTTCATTCTTATTTCACGTATTAAGAATTAAAATGATAATAAAGGCGTTAATGCCTCCCCCGCATTTCCAAACAACCGTTTCTATGGCAACTGCGGGAGAGTTACTTTCATAAATATTTAAAATGTGTTTTTTATCTAAAATATTTCTGCAAGTGTCTATATTCTCATTTGTAATTTTCAACCAATTTCACTTAAAATTAAATAAAATATGAAGAAATTCCACGAACTTTTCGATCAACCCTCGTATTTATCAAAATTCCAATTTGATTTCAAGGTCATAATTTTGTCATCTCTATGTAAAAGTCAGACGATTTTCGAGACCTAAAATTGATAATGATTTGATAGTTACATATATTACAAGTAAATTAGTGGTCAGCGTTACACAAGTATCGACAATACTACTTCATAGTATAATTATTTTACACATCATATTACGTATTACACATCGTATATAAAATTATTCGTAAAATAAAATCATGAAATAAAACAGATATACCTAAACCGATATGGTCTCCGGTTATACATGTTTCAAGAAGGCTGTAGTTCTGCGCCCAAGCCATCAAGATTTCATTTGGTCATGTATCAGATCTAATTGTTTTCACAATAAAGGCTTGAAGACAGATACACCATTTAGACTTACGTCTTTTTTATGAGAGAGAGAGAGAGGAGAGAGAGAGAGAGAGAGAGGGAGACCAATGGAAGGGCCATTTGTTTGTGTCAAATTAAAAGTCGCAGTAGCGATTTCAAAATTTTTAGAAACTATCTAAAACTTCTGTGATGATTTTAGTTATATATAAATCGGTATTCGCAACATATTTTATTTTGGTTTTTTTTTTGGTCATTAATTGGGGTTTCGTGTATCTCAGAACATTTATTGTAAAGAGGAAATGAGAGCAAAATAAAGCTAGCCAAACAAATGACATATACGTATCTATACGGAAACATAGCAAGACCGCAGGGGCGTAGCTAGACCAAAATGATGTGCACGCCAAAAAAGGCAGGGGGTCTGGGGGCGCCTTGAGGCCCCCAGTGGGCCCTGGTGGGGGCCCAGGGGGCGAAGCCCCCGGAAGCTCCTGGGTTT